AAGTTTGATTTGGAAACATCAAAAATGCTACTTAGGTCCATGTGAGCCAGAGTCTGAACTCCTAGTATCCCCCTTCATACCCCCTATAATAGTCACCCGTAAAATCCCTAAAAGACCCGCCTTTAAGGAGTTTAGACATGTCAGGTCTGATTTGGGGGACGGAAAAGTGCAATCCGCCCGCCTCCTTTTCGCCTCTGCCTGCAGGCCAGTAGCTTCCAAAATTAGGTCGTAATAGCTTTCAATATAGTAATTGTACTTATATTAGTACTAGTAGTACTAGTAGTAGTAGTAGTAATAATAATAATAGTAGTAGTACTTCTTCTTCTACTACTACTACTAGCCGCAGCAGCGGTAGTAATAGTAAGAACAACAGTTACAACCGGAAGCCGACTCGCAGTTGCCCTGGCCCGGGCCTTCGCCTTGCCCCTGGGATGCTCCGGCGCCTGGGGGAGTTTAGGGGTTTAAGGGTTTAAGGGTCCTGGGGGTTTATGGGGTTAGGGGTTTAGGGGTTTAGGGGTTTAGGGAATTAGGGGTTTAGGGTTTAGGGGTTAGGGGTTAGGGGGGGTTCAGGGGATTTAGGTCTTAGGATTTAGGTCTTAAGTGGTTCAGGGTTTAGGTTTCTGGGCGGTTAGGGTTCGGTTGGGGGCTTTTGTAGTGGCCTAAAGACATGGGGGCTGCTTTCGGGCTTCATCTACTTGTACCTGCAGACCTCCCGGGCATACGCCCCATAAGGGATTGTATAAGGACCAAATATGAAAATACCAAATAAGTACATATAACTATGTACCTTACTGATTCTCTCTCTCATTCTATGTATATGTATATATATATATACACCATTAAGCAGTATGCGGCTCTCTCTCTTCATGACTCACCCCGATCTGCAGCTATCATTTGATGCGGACCTCTCCACATAAGGTACAGGGGTATACCCAGGCACAACCCTAAATCCTAAAACCCTAAATCCCTAAACCCTACATCCCCCCTATGATTCTGCCGAAAACATAGGGACCCGTGAAGCTAGGTAGGAGTTTGCCTTAAACACTGTTGCCTAGATGGGCCCCGTACATCCCCTATAACCCCGTCAAAGAGGCTTTTCCCCAAACCCCTAAACCCAGAACCATGAACCCTAAACCCTGAAGCCCCTAAACCGTAAGCCCCCAAACCCAAAATCCTCAACCCTATACCCTAACCCCTGAACCCTAAACCCTGGACCCCTGAACCCCAAGCCCCTGAACCCCAAGCCCCTGAGCCCTAAGCCCCTTAAAAAGGGAGAATAGGGAGCAGATCCTTAATAATCCCTACGTAATCCCCAAAAATACCCGTATAATGGTACTAATATTCACTCCGCGGCTCCCCATTACGCACCAATAGGACTTCCTAAGCCGGTGCTTAATAAGAAATATGGGAATGGAATCCCTATATTATCCCTGTATAACATATTCCTTGATCCCCTACGAACCCTAAACCCTCAACCCCAAACCCCATATCCTAAACCCTAAACCTTATATCCTAAACCCTAAACCCTATGTTATTAATGCCACTCCCTTATCTGGTGGCCCGTAAAGCCCCTTGAAAAATGTTAGTAGATGGGGTCCCTTATTAAAGCCATTAAGGAAAATGTTAAATATTTCAGGGGCCTACCCAGTTATTCCCTACTAACCCTCAGTAGGACTTCTTGAACCGAACCCGCCTGTCTCGGCACCAGCTGCAGCAGCGCCTCGTCATGCTGGGAAGTTCCCAAGCAGCGCCTTCGGCGACCTGGAGATTAGGGTTGAGGGTTTGGGGTTTAGGGCGCCTAAGAGTTTGGAAGGGCTGGGGATTGACGTACAGGTTTGGGATTCCGGTTCAATTTTTGCTGGCATTCAGGGGATAGGGTTTAGTCTTCTTGGGGTTCAGGGCTTTCGAGAACCCTATACACCAAGCCTTTCAAAGCTATGTCATCCCCAACGAACTTCTTGGTAGCCCCTTAAAGAACCGCCCATGATGTCAAGAACCCCAAATCCTAAACGCCAAATTGGAAAGTCTGAGCCTAAACTCTAATCCCGGGGCTTTACTTAGAGGCTAGGGAACCTGCAGACGAAAAAAAGGATTGGATGACGCTTCAGAAAACTGTGGGAACTGTGGAGGAAAAAGATTGGGAATTCGTTGAAAAAACCCTAAACGCTAAAACCCCCAAACTGCCCTGGTTTGCCCATGATTGCTTTTGAAAAGTCGTCTTTAATAGCTCATGTATGGTGTCACGCTTAGGATGTAGGGGACTTAAACACCAAGCCCTAAACCCTATGCCCCAAACCCTAAACCCTAAACCCTAAGCCCTAAACCCTATGCCCTAAACCCTATGCCCTAAACCCTAAGCCCTAAGCCCTAAGCCCTAAACCCTCTAGGGTATAGACTTTGGGAGTTAGGGTTTGGAGTCGAGGCCGGGCTTTAGGGTTCCAAGTCAAGCAGGTGTGGTAAGGAGAGCCTCCAGCTTTACATGAGCTATAGTCTAAACTCCTTAAAGGCCGTTATATAAGCGATTCTTTAAAGGCCGTTATATAAGGGACTCCTTTAAGGCCGTTATAGAAGGGATTATAGTCCCCCTTAAGTGGATAGAATTTGTTTCTATTTTTTACCCAAAGCCATATTCTATCTGCTTAAGGGGGACTAGATATGGGGGGCTGCTAGGGGTGATATTAAGGAGGATACTGGGAGTTAAGACTATCACATGCAAGCCGGCATATCATGGACCTTGGCTGACTCCCCCTAGTGCCGCGTAGGGAGAGGGGACATGAATTGTGGAGAGCGCTATTAGGGATGACAAACTGGGTTTAGGGTTTAGGGTTCTCATTCCCAGTACACATCAAGTAGTTGGAGGCTGCTCGATCGCTACCCTTTGTCCTCCCCCAAACTAACCTGCTAGACTACTGTCCCGTTAAAGGAGATGTGGGCTTCCCTTTCAGTTTAGGGGAGGGTAAAGACACGGGGGCTCGGGAGGTCAAATTGACCCGCAAACTTTACAACAAGTGCAAAAAATGTTACACCAGCTAGAGGAACTCAACCAAGCCCCTGCCAAAGGGCAGCTGATCGAAAGCTAACTTCGAAACAACAGGCCGTCTAACCTGAAGACCCTCACGACTTCCCCAAGAGCAACCTCTGCCTGAACCCCAAAAGTATGTAGAATGATGGAAAAGAAATTGGAAACTGCTATATCATTTAGGGTTTAGGGTTTAGACCCCCAAAATATGTAGAATAATAGCCCGTTTGGTCATATCTAAATGTTTTGGGCTATCATTATAGCTATTTCTGGGGTTCAGGTGGATCAGTCCCCTGCGCGTCTACCGCATGGTGACTTTGGAGTCGAGATGCTCACGAGGAAGTGCGGCGAGTATTTCTGGGACTCCAGGACCTGGCACATGGCAGTTTCCATAAATAAGGGGACTCCCATATAGACCTCAATAGGCTGTAATACTTACCATGGACACCCCTGTTTTTGGAAACCCCGACAGTTTCCATAAATAAGGGAACCCCAACATAGACCTCACTAAGGGGACCCCACATTTGGAAAACTTCCATAAATAAGTGGACCCCAAAATAAATCCCAATACACTGTAAGACTTACCATGGGGACCCCCAATGTTGGGAAACCCCTGCATTTTACATCCAGCAAGCCCAGACAGCAAATGAATGAGGCCCAGCGCTAGCTACATGGAGACCCTCCATCGGGAATGCAAGATTTTTGAAAGGAAACCTCCAAGCTTTGAATGGGTTCTCAAGGTTTAGGATTTAATGTTTAATGCTTAGAGCTTAAGATTTAGGGTTTAGGATTTAAGGCTTAGGACTTAGGGTTGAAGGTTCAGGATTTAGGGTTTGGGATTTAAGCTTTAGGATTTAGGGTTTAGGATTTAGGATCTAGGGTTTAGGCTTGGGCATCAACACCTCGGGGTCCAGTCCTCGGACGTGGCCGCCTTGGGGGCCCCTCGTAGGAAGATACTTTATTCTCAGAACCCAAACCCTGGAGGATCCAGAAAGGGCTAAGGCTTTACGGTTTTAGGGTTTAGGGTTAAGGGCTACATCCTGCAAATATTAAGCATAATTTGTTGGGACGCTTCTTGAATAGTGGGGGGGACGTCGTTTTAACATTAGGTGGAAGGGATTAATATCTTTGGGGGGGTCCCCCTTTTTAGGGGAATTACCATACAGGTAGCTGGGCCCTTAGGCGTGTGATTCAGAAATCTGAAGCAGATTGTTGACAGATTTAGCCAAAGAGCAGATCTCTAGTGTTGATGATGTCCTACTGCAATGGCACTTCCCCAAGTCATGAAAACTTACGGGATTGGCACATCCCCCCTGATACGAGTCCATGCTCTATGGCACTTCAGGCGCAAGCAAGCAGAAGAGAGCAGGCCACCTTATACCCTAGACCTTGAACCCTCATTCCGAAACCGCGTGCCTGCAGGGGGCTCCGGCACCATCGAGGCAGCCGAGATTGTCAGTTAAACAGACATGCAGAGCCTACCCCAGAACCTGAGGGCCTGTTCTTAAGGAACTTCAAGCCAGTTACCAGTATAGTAAAGCCGTTTTGGTGTTTAGGGTTTAGGGCTTAGGTTTTACCATATTATCTTGCTGGGCAAGAAGGGATAATATAATCCCTATATACTATATTCCCATATTCCCTGCTAACCCCCGTAAGTTGTGGAGGCTAAACGTAGCTTTCTTAACAGCCTAAACCCTGAACTCCAAGGCCTAAATCCTGGACCCTAAACTCTAAACCTTATCCCACGCGTACTTTGCACATTGCCGGCGTGTTGCCTGGCGTGAAAGCAGAAGCTGCAGGGCACACACGGGTGAAGAGGCTAGGGCGAAGGCGGGACTTAAGGACAACCAAACCCTAGGGGACAGGTCTAAACCCCTAGGGGGATGGAGTCTACCTAATGAACCACTAAGAACCCTAGATCCCTTCCACTTCTAAAATGCTTGGCGCAGCCACAAGAAAAATCGAGGGATCAAGCGGGAGCAGAGGAAGCGATCTGCGAAGCAACCAGCTTGGATGCGTAAGCACGCAGAATGGCAAGCTTGGCCCGCGAGGTCGCAGAGAGCTGTTGGAGCAACAGCTGGGCCGCCACTTCCTGTAGATAAAACTCTACAGTTTTCAACTTGCTCCATCGTCCCCTCCAGGCCACAAGTTGAACGTCTTCGGTTTCAAGATACAAAAAGGTGGCCCCAGAGCCTCGCAATACTCCAGGAGTAGCTCCACGCGCCTGCTGGGTGTGGGGAACGCCCAGATGCGACATGATGGCATTCCACTGCCGTCGGTACGTGTGCAGGGAGCCTCGGAAGAGTTTCTCAGCAAGAGGCAGGGAGCCGTACCGGGATTCAAGAAACTGAAGAACTAGGTTATCATCAAGCCGAGCGTGCTGACGCCTGGCAAAACGAGCTGTCTTGGGGTTGCGCACGTGGATATAGGCCACACGGTCCGCGGACATAGCATCCGCAGGAAGAATCAAGTCTCGGCGATGTAGAGTGATAAACTCAGCCGGATGCAACATGCAGATGAAACCTATGAGAGTCACGGCGACCCAGTCCCCCCAGCCCCAAAGCAACCCTAAGCTAACCGCAGCTTGGAGGATGGGCTTGGAGATTACGGGGCGACATTCCCCAGGTTCTGCATGCTGCCACTTTTTATCAATCTGCCAAGCCGGCGTAAGATGATTCCTGTATTCAGGACACGCATCCTGAACTGAAGTGATGGCATACACCAACAGGTAACGAGGCAACCCCGCAGCATACAAGTGGAGGCCAAATGCTCTGAGGGCAGTAGCTGCTGCCGAGACGGAGGAGAGAACTTGGTTGAGGGACAACCCAAGCTCCTCCCGCAGCCAGTGTGCAAAGGCATCGAGGCTTTTGCGCATCTTGTGCCGAGTAGTCGCTACAAAGCCGGACGACAAGTCGAGAGGACCGCGCGGCACCGGGGGTGGACCCGGACTCCTCTCAATGTCACCCCCGAGCAACAGCAGCAGCCGAAGCCAGCGTGCGGCTTGCTTGGGCACGGAGGATGCAGCAAGACACACGTCAAAGCGATAGAAATCGCCAGCGCACAATTGCTCATACCATGCAGGCAGGGGCTTGGATGGTGGGTCGACAGGCCTGTTTCGGGACGGCCCGTCACTGCGGTCAGCGGCGGAGTAGACGTGCAGTCCGCCCGGGTACAGGCCACCCCCAAGCACGTAAGGCAGTGATGTCCGCAAGACATGAGCCAAGGCAGGGCTGCTTGAACGCCCCTTCGCAGCGGCACCTAGCAAGACCCTGCTGTCGATCAGCCCGACTGGGCGGGAACGGCGGTGGTGCCGGCACAGGTATTTGAGCCAGGTTTTAAGCGCGCGAGCCTCCTACACATTTATGTGGTTTTGCCTAGCAAACTTATACCGGAGGATTTCCCTGAAGGGCAGGGCCTCTGCAAGGTCGTTGATCCATTCCGGGTCGTCATGGAAAGGACGAGAGGCTGAGACTTCATCACTGACATCGGGCAGGACCAGTGCAGACGAACGATCCAAGGCAGCAACGGCCGCGGCACGAAGTGACAGGACTGTGGCCGTCCTTTGCCTGGCGACTGCCAGCCGCCATGCGACGGCACAACGGCAACGGGTACGATGCAGAGAACGAGGCGACGGACTCGCCAAGCAAGGGCTCACGCCCGAACACAGCAGTGGCGGAAGGGCGGCAGCGAGCCTTGAACTCCGCAAGGTACGACGCGGTGAATGTGCCCTGAATAACAAGATGTCGGCGCTTGTGTTCACATGAACAGCCCCCGGCAAGGGGAAGGAGCCAAGGCTTGTTGCGCAGCCATTGCATCGGCTTCATGAACGGTGACCCGTACGAGCAGCAGCAAAAGCGAGTCAGCACAGCTCCAAGCGAGGCAAGAACACCGAAAATGTGCAGGCGAAACATCACAGAGGAGCCGGGCTGCTCCACGCTGTAAAACCCCCCTAGCCTAGCGACCACACAAAAAATAAACCCCGTACGTTGGGCCATCCTATTATGGGTCATGGTGAGGGGGTCATGCGGGTTAAAACCATGAGGTCTAAGCTTAGATCTGAGCCTGGGCCGGCGCAGAGTGCCGAAGGTCAAGCAAGGTGGAGCTCCATGCCATTCGCGGACGACACGCCTCAAGGCCAGGCTTAGTATCTCATGAAACACTGCGTCGTCCAAGATGTCCATAACTCGGAGCGAGTTCCCAGCGATATCTATCCCCGGGTGCGTTTCGAGCCCCGCAGCTTTGTGGGCAAAAGACCAATTGGCTTCACCGGAGAAGATCTCCACTGTATCATAGATCAACCCTTCTGCGAAGTACCGGGGCACAGGCACAGACAGGTTGGCAGCATCAAAGATCGGCGGAGAGGCTTCCGGCCCGAACACTGCCTCGCATTCAAGACCTTGTTCCCTGATCAAGGCTGCCGCAGGTGATTCAAGACGAGTGTAGTACCCTTTTTGTTCGGTATGCCGCCACAATTCTTGAGTGACGTGCACCGGTGCGTCGGCCATGCATATGCCTGCGCCACCTGGCGACGCGTCCATACAGAATATATGAGGCAAGTAGGGGGTACGCAAGTCGGCTTGAAACAAAGGTGCAAGGTTGCAAAGGGAATGAAGTTCGTTCAAGGAGCGGCGTCCAAGCTTAAAGACTTTGTCGCGAGGCGTGTGGCACGCGTCTTTGAAGCACTCCGACAAAAGTGAAAAGCCAGGACGGCGAAACATCAAGACATGAACCCAAAGTCCAAGTAAGGAAGACAGCATGCTGGCGGAGCAGCAGCCCCGGCGCACCACCTCGGAGGTGATCAGCATAAGGACCCCTATCCTATTCCTAGGAGCAGAGACCAACCCAGCAAGGCCGTCGATGTCGGCTCCTAGGTACGTGCCTGCTGTCTCGTTCCTCTTTCGTTTCCGTGGATGCTGGACAAGGCGAACGGTAGCATAGGCAGCTTCGGCATCCCGAAAGATTTGGGAGTCCCTCTTGAAAGCTTGCTGGCGGTGCTCACCAAAGGTGACCTTCTGGGCAACCAGACGATCGTCCACAGCCAAAAACTCAGCAGTGTCCCCCCGAGGGTATGGGGAGCGGTACGCAGCGATTTCTGAAGGCCTCATAGCGTTAGCCAAGGAAGCTAGCACGGTGTGATGCGACTGCTGAGCAACCTCAACAGCCAGGGAGTCTCCCATGGCCATTGTGGCCAGACACACGTAAAATGGGCCAGCACCAAGGCAGCGGCTGAATGCCTTGAAATGTTGCACAGCACTCCTGGGCAGCGGCACGCGGATGGCGTTTCGAATGGCTCTCTGAGAAGGTACTTGAAAGGTATAATAAAATTCGGTAAGATCATCACAGCTGAGCCTAAGACATTGGTTGGGCTCCAAATGGGTCTGACCAACCAAGCATCCAGGTGCCAAGTACTTGGTGAAGTGCGAGTAGCCATGATTACGAGAATTGACTACAGTGGGGTTAAGGATGAGGCGATCCCAATCCCGGTCCTTGCAAATGGCGAACAGACCTACAGCTTCGTGAGGGTCAACGCTGTCGCAAGGTACAATCTTAAGGGCCCCCACAGAATCCCACTTTTGAGCTAAAGCAATCAATTCGGTCCTACTACACCGGACTTGAGCAGCTGGAAGCGTAGGCCAGGTATCTGGAGCTTTGCGCAAAGTGTCAGGCGTGATGAAAGCAGAGCGAACCACTGGGTCAGGCAGGTAAGGAATGGGGTCAAAGGAAGGTGGGTTCTCCCACTTGATCCGGCTAGCCACCACTTCTTTATGTAACGACCCTGCGGGAACCTTACAAGTTCCTAGCTGGCTTGGCTCAGAGGCTTCAGCAGGTTCAGCATGACTGCTAGGTTCAGAGCATGAAGGTGGGTCAGTGGCGGGCGCAGGTGCAGGAGCAGACCCTGAGCCGTACCCATCCCAAGAAGCTTGCAAGTCCAAAACTAATTCATGGAGGTCCACACCCGAGAGAGAAGGACTCACTCTAGGTAGTTCCTGAGCTAGAGACAACAGATGCGCGAAACGATCCTCCGATCTGCCGAGCTGAGAGGCTTCAAAGTCAGGCGCACGCACAAAGTGTTTTATGCGGCGCTCAAGCACACACTGCATGTCTAGCTGGTCTGCAGAAAGAGGCATGCCGGCCCGTGCTTCCGCGGGGCATCTAATGGGGGAACCCAAGGCAATCCAATTTAGGGTACCTATGGCAACCCTAAGGAGATCATTGATCAGCTTAAGCTCCCGCATTCTGCGCCGGCGACGGGGCGAGTAAAGCCTCATTTGCTCTGTCCATCTCCGAGGCGGGGGACAGGGCCACAGCGATTTGCCTGAATTGGATCCAAGCTGTGCGTTGCAAGCATTGGGACTGCAAGGCTTGAAAGAGTCCATAAGGAAGGCGTTCAAACCAACACGGGCAGACCCCGAAACCCTTAAAAAACTAAACATCCAATCCCTGAAGGGTATTGGGGAGTCAGGAAGGTGCAGGGGTACATGATCCAACTCAGGCGGCGAAGCGGGCCCAAAAGGCTCGTCACCCCGCGGAAGGTGGGTGGCTCGAACTCTGGGAGTTGAGGTCCCTGCAGCTTTCGGAAATGAATTTGTACATGCTTCATTCGAACCGACTCCGGGCTCGAAATCAAAAGAAAAGCCGCGCTCAGCGCAGGCAGGTTCATACTTTACAGAAGTTGGCGAAGCAGTCTCGGCCACTACTTCTCCGGTCTGTCCGTTGGCTTGTCGGCAAGCGCTTTTGGCTTGCGAGGTGGACGCTTGGGTCGCGGCTGCCACTCCGCATCCTCTGCTTTGTCTGGGTTTGTCTCTTGCTGTCCCGTGGTTCTGCTCGGCTTCATTCTCGTCTCCAAGTAGTCGACGTCCTTCAAGAATGCCACCTGAGCTGCTATCCAGGGGGCAGCGGACAGCTTGCCATAAGGTCTCACATCGGTTCTCCGCGAGGAAAGATGGGAGACGTCTATGTCCGGCAGGCCGCTCAATAGAAACCCCAGTTGTGTTCGACCTTGATCGATGGCCATTTGCTCGGCCATCACTAGGCCTCTGGCGGCCCAGGCCTCGCCCAGTTGATTGCCCTGGCGGCGGCAATCCTCCCACTGATATGCCAGAAAGAAAGCAAAGATCTGCACAGTCTTCAGATCCTTCATGGGGATCTTCCGTTCGACATATTGTCTCATCATCCCCGGATCTTGGGTGCTGAGGCCGAGCTCTTGCTAGGCTCTCTTTGCAATGCCCTCTGCCATGTCCAGCGGGTTCTCGAACAGCTTTAGGTAAGCGTCTCGCGCGGCAATGCCCCTGGTTACCGCTGGTTGCAACTCCCCCGCCTCGAGTTCCTCCTCCGCAAGCTCGTCGTTTTCCAGAGCCGTCCTCGGGGCCCGCACGTGGCCAGCCAGCTCAAAAGCCCTTAATTAAGGATTGTTAATTTAAGGACTTTAGACTCTAATTAGAGACTATTCATTTACGGACTTTTACCTTTAAGGACTTTTGGGTTTTCTAGGTTCTGCGATCTTGCTGGTCCTACCCGACAGCCGCGCAGGTGGAGCTCCAGCCGCCGCCCGGAGCTTGTGCCAGTCCTCCGCAGTCAGCGCCGCGCCTGTGCCCGGCACATCGTCCAGCAGGGGCCGGGTCTGACGTTGCCCACGAAAAGGCGCTGGGGTTGTCCGAGCTGCCTCCTGTGCCGCCTCCAGCTGCCGAACTCGGGCCCTGAGCGTGGAAACCAGATCCTCCGCCTGTTCGGCCGGATCGGCCTCGTCCTCCTGCGGTTCGTCCTGCATCTCCTCTGCGGTGGCATACTCCAGGAAAGTAGCATCGCTGAGCTGCTCGTTGACCCATTCCTCGGCAGCTTTGCGGGCTGAGCCTGGCACCGGCCGAACTGCAGTGTCCTGATGTAGAATGGCAAGCAGCCGAAACCCAGGAGGAGCTCGAGCGGCGGTGGCCTTCCGAAAATGAACCAGGTGCGCCCAGCTCAGGTCGGCCAGGAGCAGGCTCACTTCGCCAACGCGCCGTCTCCGACTTGTCTCGCAGGACACCGCTACGTCCTTCCAGACTACCTCGTCTAAGGCGGGAGCAGCGATCATGAAGCCTCCAGCGCGAGCTTTCAGCAGGAACGTGGCAGCGCGCCAAGGATTCTCCTCGTCCAAACCAATCAAGTAAAGAAGAGGCAAAGGTTTCCCAGGCGCGTCTTGAGCCAGGAGAGCTTGAATGCTCTCCGGGCTCAATTCTGCTCCACCAACTCTGCTGGCCATGCCTGGCCAGCCGCCGCACAGTAAGCTTCAGCCTCCGCCTTGGTAGCGAAGCCGTGACCGATCGTCCCACGCCTGAGCTGTCCAGTCGCAGGATCCCGAAGCTTGGCAAAGTAGCGAGAATACGAAGTTGAGAAGAAGCTTCCCGGCTCACAACCAGACCTCAGCACAATGTAAATGCGATTGGATGTAGGCACGGCCAAAGATCGGGCAGTATAAGCCGAATCGCCTCTCAACACAATCGCCGCCAAAAGCCCAGCACGGACTGCACGAGCAATACGGGCTTTCGCAGTCCAAGGTTCTCCAGCAGCGTGCAGCTTTCGAATGAAATGGTTGTGAGGACCCAGATCGGCCTGCTCCAAAGAACAGATGTCAAGAGCCTGCAACAGGTTCTCCTCCCAATCCCCCCGGTCTGGGGAAGCAAGGGGTACTCCGGCTGGCTCCGCAGACGCGGGCTCAGGCTGAGGCTGCACCGCCACAAAGGAAGCCGACGAGGTAGCTGATCTTGGGGACTCAATCCTCGCAGCACGCCGTCTGCGCACAGTAAGGGTCAGATCTCCTAAGGCGAGCTCGAGCTCTTCAATCTCCCGGTCGCCGGCCCCAGTCTCTTGCATTCAAGAGGTTCGGTACTCACGAAGCCTGCGAAGTTGATCCACTCGAGAAACTGCAGTGGCAGCCAAAGGCCCCTCAAAGGCAAGGGATATCCACCCGGCAACAAAGGAGATTGTTCTCCTGCACTGCCTGTTCAGAATAACACAGCCCAGGCAAAGGCCCGTACAGAGCCCACAGCTAAAGAGGCAAAGGCCAGACAGCAGGAGGAGGGCCAGCGATGGGCAAGATTGCGGCGCCGACCAAAACCTAAATTCTCGCGCCACCTCAGGCAGGGCAGCCCACATAAGCCAAAGAACTGCGGAGGGAAGATCGTTTCCTGCTGCATTCGGACATGGGATACTGGCAAACCCCAAATCCTGAACCCTAAACCCTAAACCCCACATAGTAGTTTCCATTTTCTTTTCCATTATCCCTATATACAGCACCCCAAATTCTAAACAAGCCCCAGGCCGTCGCCGGGAAGAAGGGATCAGCAGGGGGTTCCTTCTCTTTGCCAGAACCTGGGTCTAGGGTAAAGGTTTAGGGTTTAAGGTTTAGGGTTTTAAGGTTTAGGGCTTGGGGTTTGGTTTAGGGTGTAGGGTTTGGATGTTGTGAGGATGTCTTGGCAACACGTACTTCCTCTGCAACAATGTGAGTCCTGCATGATGGCAAACACTTGGATAACTTCGTGCAAAAAAACAAAAAAAAAAAACATGGCGGGTTGATGTAGTACGGACTCCCTGCAGTTCATCTTCATCCAGAGCTCGGCTTATGAAGTTCGAACTTGTCTTCTGACCAAGGACAATTGTTGTTGTCGCTGCGATAGAGCCCCCTCCCTCCTAACAAGCACCCCCCAACTCCTTCGTACCAAACAGCTGGAAAATAATCCCACGCATGATGCGAGGAATACTGATCATCAGGAGAGGTGGGGTATTATCCACCTGTGTACCGGAAATATTCGGTGATGCATTCTGCTAGAAACCCCAAAACAACAGAATGTTGACCAACTTTCACTGGCGTAGAAACCAAAGCCCCAACTAAAACCTACTTACACCGTTCATATTTTTGCATTTGCCCGACTTACTAAAGACCCTGATGACCCTAGTATAGCACCATACTTCCAGAGATTTAAAGTACCCAGGGTCATGCAGGAACTTTGGTATGAACCGTATCACCCAGTTATAAGCCCCCTATGTGCCCTAATAAGTTTATACTTTGGGTACTGCCCCCACCCAGTAACAATCTATAATGGGGGAAATGAAAAGGGCTATATACACGTACCATATAAACATTTTCCAACTGTTACCAAGTGGGGGCAGTACCCAAGTTATACTTTGCGCGCAACATGAATGCCAGCATCTCCTTCAACCTCTCCTCCCCAAAGCTGGATTGCTGGTTTAGGGTTTAGGGCGATTTTCCCAAATTAGGGTGCCTACATGCAGAACCCTAAACCCTAAACCCTAAACGAAGGAAAGCGGGAGGGGGGGTTCCATGATCCTCCTGGAGTCCTCCCCGCTCAGCCCGGTTTAAGGTTTATGGGTTGTGAAAATGACGGTCCTTCCTTCTTGGGGTTTCGGGTTTAGGATGTAGGGTTTAGGGCTTAGGGTTTAGGGTTTAGGAGGGACCCAGAATACTAGGGGCCGTACTATACGAAGGTTCAAAAAAAGCAAGAACAATTTTCACAACGTACCATACACTGGCTCTCCCGACCTAAGCCCAAATCAAAGTCCTCTCGACTGATACAACTGGAAATTAAAACCTCATCCTTCTTCCTGACACTAAAGCCCTAAGGGCTAAACCAAAAAGGGTTTAGGGGAAACCCCAACACCCCACATTCTAACAACCCTGGACCATGTAGGATGTAGGACATTTTTTGCCGAGCTTGCCACCCTTTTCTCTGTCTCCCACTCGAGTCGCTTTCGATGGGCCTCCAGGGCGAAGTTTAAGGAGTTTAGGCTATAGCTCACATGGTTGTTGAAGGTTTGGGGGTTTGGGTTTAAGCTATCTGCTCGACATGCAACGCTCCTCCCTCTCCCCCTGCCGCTCACCCTTCCCCTTACATATGGGAGGCCGGCTAGCACTTCATGGTTTTGGAAACAAGCGAATCCTCATTCGCGAACACCACCGCTGGATGTGGCGTCTCCGAAAGCTACCTAGGGAACGCCTTCAGAAAGTCCAAAAGCTGGTTCACAGCCAACCCTAACCCTAAGAAACAGCACCTCGGCTTGTTCACCTTGCCAACATCACGACGGGGCTTAGGGTTTGTACGAACTGTATAGGGTTCAGGTCCGAGGTTGTGTGTGAGCGAACTTTGAGCGGGCCCTGTGCGAGTTTCCGATTCAACTTTTGACCTATAGAATTTGTATCTATCCGGGCTTGATGGTATTTTTTCGGTAACCCCATATACCTTCCCTTGTCAACAGATAGAAGTAGGCCGTTTTGGGGACCCTAAACCCTAGAAACCACTAAACATAGCTTGGGTCTACCAAGAGGACTTGTAGCTTGACGCGTTTAGAGTCTCGTGCTAGCTCGAAACCCTACACTCCTCCACCCCTGAATCTCAAAACGCCTAAAACCCTACACCAATGAAGCCCTACATTTCTAAACTCCGAAATCCCTCGAACCCTCCATCCAAAATCCCAAAAACATAAATCTAAGGCACGAAACCCTGAGCCCTAAACCCCTCAACCCTGAGCCCTACTGTAAATCCCTAAACCCTAAACCCTAAAGCTTACATTCCCCGAGCCCCTAAACCCAGGTAACTCTAAACCACATGAGCTATAGTCTAAACTCCTTAATGGGATTTTATAGGGGATTATATAGGGGACTAGTATGGGGGATATTAAGGGGGATACTAGGAGTTTTCAGTATAAGCCCTAAACCCTAAGCCCTGAACCCTAAGCCCTAAACCCTAATGAAGCAGGGAAAGGTGCCTGGCTTTGCCTCAGCGTTTGCTGGATTGAGCTGTAACCTGGCGGCCGCAGGTTAGGATTTTTGACCTAGGGTAAACAGAATCAAAGAGCACTCTAAAA